AGAGGCGCAATCGCAGGGGGGGCAGGCGGGCAGGGTGGAAAAGAGAGAGAAGAAAAAAAAAAGATCTGTTTTCAGAACTGAAAACGTGAAAAGTGAAAATGAAAACAGGTTTTTTTCATTTTCACTTTTTCAGAAAAGACAAAAACGTTTTTATTTTTTGTTTTGATTCAGATTTTTCCCAAACACATTTTCATTTCCCGTTTTCATTTTTCTTTCTCGAGAAACGTGAAAAACGAAAATGGAAATGGAAACAAACGGGCCCAAGGGGTTTTTGCGCAGTGGCCCTGAACTTGTCAGTTTAGTAAATTACTCTTAACTTTTTAGGGTCCGTTCTTTTAGAGTGTGACTTGAGTGTAGTTCTTGAGTTGAATTTAAATTATAACTTGAGTTGAAATTGTAACTTGAGTTTTTGTTTAGTTGTGTACATTTGAGTTATAGTTTGAGATAATAATCTTTTTGAGTTTGTGTTTGAGTGAGTCAAAACTTAAATTTGTATTTATATAGTATTTTAATAAAAACTCAATGGTGATGAAAAATTTTAATAGGGTATATAGGTGGGGTTTTATTCGTCTTTTCGTTGTCAACGCATAGAAAAAAAATCATCTCAGTCAGGATTAAAACGAAAAAGTTATAGCATTTTTAAGAATATAAAAATACTGTTCATTAAATTGAGTTCGAGTTTCTGAACTCGAGTTGAAATGGAAACTTAAACTCGAGTTTTAGTCTCAAACTCGAGTTCAAACTTAAAAGAACATGAACTTAAATAAAGTTGGTACTCGAGTTACCTTTTTTTAAATTTTTTAGGCCGCGGAACACACCCTTAATTTTGTCCATCAACCCACTCAACTTGCCTTAATTATTGCAATTAACCTCATTTCACTAATGACTATTAAAAAGTGACGAAACCAATGCGTAACACGCACAAACTGTTTATTTTATCAATTCGAGTTTAAAATTTAAATTTTATTTACTCATTATTCTTAATTAATAATTTTTTAATTAAAAAACTATATTAATTAAAATGATATTAATCGAGAATACAGAATAAAAATTTGGACCATTGTACTTTAAAAATAAATTCAGTAATTTTTTTAGTAGAAAGCAAACCATGTTTAATTTGATCAGTCCAATAGAGAATGAATTCAAAATAAAATATTCCTTTTATAGTCATTTCTTCTGGAAAAAAAAATAGTCAGTCTAATAGTTAGACTACATAACAAAATTAAAATTATAAACTACCCAACTCTCTCTGACCATTTTTAGATGTGATCATTTGGTTTCTTTTTCTGCCTGACCAATCCGGCAATATTATAGGTGCCAGGTGTAAAACATTTCCTATATGTAATATATTAATTAAATTATGTTAAAACTGTAATTTTTTCATTTAAATTTCACTATAGGGTACCTTGTGCATATCAATCGTGGATTATTTGATTAAAATTTATTAATGGGAAGATTATTGTACCCGTAAGCACGATTTTTTAGACCGTTAAATTTTAATCTGCTAGATCAACCGCGTCTAAATAATAAAACAACGTGCAGCACAAAGGGAGCTTGGGCCCAGAGGGGGCTCAAGCCCCACAACCCAAGAGGCCCCATTAACAATTTTTAAAATTCTTAGCTTTAATCCATATCTTTTCTTATTTAGCCACCCCTAATTTGTTTTAATAATTTCAAAGTGTCCTTGAATTAAAGTTAAATTTTCATAAATTTTTTTTATTTCCCACCCCTAATTTGTTTTAATAATTTCAAAGTGTCCTTGAATTAAAGTTAAATTTTCCTAAATTTTTTACTTCCTGTCCAATTATTCTTATTTTGCCCTCAATTCTCTTATAATTTGAAATTTTTTGTAGTATTCTAAATATTTTCACTCACACTCTTAGTTCTTATCTTTAATTATACCTTATTATTTAAATTTTTTTTGCCTGTATCTATTGTAATTTCCAATATAAAAACCCAAATAAACAAAATATCATACAATAACTACTTGTGTTCATATATTTGTAGAAATAACAAAAAAGAAATATCCCTAGATTATTA